ATGAGGAAATTCGCAAGCGGCAGACTCTCACCAAAATAAAATCCAATCTTACAATCCCACTCACATACATAGAGCAAAGGACCATGAACTCAAACCTCTCTTGATCTGGGTTTGGATTGAGTTTTGGGTTCTAAAATTCTTGATCTGGGTTGTTTTTTAATCGGTGTTTTGAGGCGATGGAGAAGAGAAGAGAAGAGGAGAGAGAGAGAGAGAGAGAAAGAGAGATAGGGTGGGTACGGTGATGGGTTTGTTTGTTTTTAATTTTAATTTTGTATATATATTTTTATATTTTATTCATATAACAGTATATATATATATAACAATATTTTTTAGATTAAATTTTTTGATAAAAAAAGTGTAAATTAAAAAAAGAAAAAAAATTATGTAGTGAAGTTGGGTTTCTTTAATAAAAAATAGAAAAAGAATAAAGGAAAAAACCAACAGATTTATCATCATGCCTTTTTCGGTCATTATACACACTAAAAGCGCTTCTGATAAAAATTTACCAAACACTTTGACTACTCACAGCAGTTTTTCAAAACCAGTTTACCAAACGCCTAACTGCTTTTTTTCACAGCTAATTATTTTCGCAGCACAACAGAAGCAGTTTTTTTTAAAAGCACAGCAATGCCAAACTAGCCCTTAAACTAATCGCTGATTATGATGTGATGTGAGTCATGCAAACTGTCTTTTCCTTTTAACTTTTATTCGTATTTTTATGAATTTTGCTTGAGGTTGTTCACGTACTACAATTATAAGAGACAAGAGCTTCCGACCAAATAAAAAAGATAAGATAATGGCTGATATAAGCAGCCAAATAAAATATAGAATGATACTAAAAAAAAACAAGAAAACCCTTATCATTCTGTTCTTTTGAATAATTGGGTATTTTACTATTAGAATTTTCGTGCAGTCTCTACGGCTGAGGATGTTTTGGAGGTCACGAAAAGTCTTCCCAAAGACCGCAAGACAATACCAATGGCCACGCAATCTAGATATAAAAGATACGGGTTTTGCCCTAAAGTATAAATTTGATCTGAGAACACATTATACATAGATATTAGAAGTATGTTTCAACAAAAAATAATAATTAAATTCTAAAAAATGTATCGGCAAGGAATAAGATTCTAACAAATGTAACATTATAATCTTTTATGATAAGAGTAATTCTTCTCATAATATCGTATATCGAATCAACACAAAGTATAACGCAGATCCGATACATAAAATATCCTACGTGATCAGTCCTAAATGAGTCTCATAATCTTTAGTTTATTACTTCTCAATCGGGTATCACAATTTTCTTGGAATTTTTATGTTTTTGGGCAACGCTTGGGGAAATTTCTCATCCATCCCATCATTTTGATGTCCTTTATTTGTTTGTTTATATTGAGAGGAAAGAAACCCATTGGGTTTCGAACTTGGGTGTCAAGCAAGGGAAGGGGGAGGCCACCACTGTGGTATCTGCTCTCGACATTTTGATGTCCTTTTCAATTGTGCTGGAAAATATATTATTTAATGATTTTTCTTTCTGTAAATAATGATCATTCATTATCCTTTTTTTTTTTCCTTTCCTTATTCTTTTATCTATGTGATTCAGAGGATTTGATTTGGCCCACCAACCTAATTCTTGTGCTAGCTGGACGTCCACCAACCCAATAACTCGCATATGACAAAAAAAGAAGATTGAAAACACGATTCTATTGTTTTTTAACGAAATTTAAACTTTGAAACTTGGAGGGTATTTTTCAGAATTATGGAATTTTATGGATCAAATTTTGAAGGAAATTTTGCATTCCACAGATTTTAATTTTGATTCAATCTCATTCCCATATAATTAAAATAAAAAAAAATTAAAAAAAACTCGCACGTGCCCCATCTATCTTCTTGCCAAAGTAACAATTAACAACATCACCCTTGAATAAAAGAAAATAAAAAACAGCATCACCTCTTAATGATTTAACTCTTTTCAAAGACTAAAAAAGTGATTGTTTGGATTTGAGTCTTAACATTCGTTTATTGTGAGAGTTAATTATATTATTGCCCCTCTCAATAAAAAAGTTCTTTAAAAAAAGTGACTAAAAAGATAAAAATTGAAAACCAATGTTTATTATTATTTTTTGGTAAAAGAAACCCGTGTTTATAAAACCCTAAATTATAACGTGGAGATGATTAAAGTTAATTAATGGGGAGTTGGTTTTGTCTTTGGGTGGTACAGACAGGGAGACAAATCTATGGGCGGACCCCAATCTGGCATTTTCTTGTTGGTAAACGACATCACAAACATGATAAACGGGCTAAAATAGTGTCGTCCTACCATGTGATGAGGGGCCCACTTGAAAGCTTCGTCCGTATCATGCCAGATCAGCAGCCCTTCTCAAAATAAACACCCTCCATTCAAGTTTTCACGCGTGGGGAATATAAACTTGAAAATGCCCACAAGCTTCTTTTTAATTTTTTGGAGCACAAACAACTCCTCTCTCTCCGAGCACCAAAAAAAAAAAAAAAAAAACCCCTTTCTCTCTCTCTCTCTCTCTCTGCCAAGTTGAAAGTCTTGGCCTAGTACTGTTCTACATCTGTGAATTGTCTAAATATAAATAAATAATGAGAGGCTGATAATAATAAGGACCTGGAGGCTGTAGTGATGCAAAAGCTCTTTTCTACGTTTCTCAAACACTTGCGCTGCCAAGTTTAGACCTTTTTGTTGTTGCTTAACGTGGCACAGAGACAACTTTGAGAGGGAGAGGGGGAGAGAGAGAGAGAGAGAGAGAGAGGCAGAGGGAGGGGGAGAGAGAGAGAGAGAGAGAGAGGCAGAGGGGTTTAACTATAAGCCTCCTGGGTTTTATTTGAAAGGCGGATTTGGGTTTGTTGTTTGGCTGGTTAGTGTGGGTTTTGTGCAGAGTTGGAATTGAAGGCATTGATGGTTTTTTCTGCTTCACATTCCGTGTTCATTATCTGCAGAGATGCAGCTGGAATCGCAGGTATTATTCTCAAGATCCCTTTTTGAATCATGGGTTTTGTTTGTGAACATTGTCTAGATTGTTCCTGTTTTGGCATTTAAATTCTTAAACAAAGAAAACCCATGTTATCATCCCATGAGACTATTATGGTTGACTTGAGGAGCTTGTTGGTTTTTGTTCTACATGCTTCAATTCCTCATTGTTCTTGCATTTCTGGCGAAAGCAAAGGAACCCCTCTTCTTTTGGTGTATGATATTCCAGTAGGTCAATTTTGGTGGAAAACTGTTGGCTCTGTTGAATGAGGAGATTGCTGATTTTAGTCAAGTGGACAAAAGTCTTCATATTGGTTCAGCAGCCCACATTGTGATTTTATTTCAGGATTGTTAGGTCAAAGTCGTTATCACTAAGATTTATAGAGAGAACAATCTTTGAAACCAATTGTTTGTGCATGCGTTTTTCCTGACTGGTGTCTGTTTAAAATGTCTTCTTTTCCCCTATTTAGTAAAGTCCTGACTGATGCCTGTTTAAAATGTCTTTCTTTCCCCCTATTTAGTAAAGAAATTTCAACCATAGGAATGAGGTATTACAGGAAAGCAAATATTGACGTGGCATTCTACTGTCTTAAAAGGATTTTGGCTTCCAGAAAACAAGATGCACTTTTGCTGCTTACTCTAAACTAAGCTGTTGAATTCAGAAATGTGGGATTAGTCCATCTAAGTAGCTACTGGATGCACCTTCTCAGAAGGAAAATTGCTCACTTGTTATAATATTTGAGTTCTTGAATGACGCAAACTGTGCACAATGAGAAATTTAGACGTCACTAATTGGTATCAGAAATCTAAATATCAAATATTAGTGAGAACTCTTTCCCACTATTCGTATTCTGATGAAGTGTTGAATAGTATTGGGATACACACACATACACATACAAACTATATTGTATTATATTACAAGTGTAATGCCTGCCAACACTGATGTGTGATGCTCCTCAACGCTATTACAAGGTGTTTCGCCTATTCAATGCCTCTCAATGCTGTTAAACATGTTGAGTTGACCCTGCGGTCAATGCGATAAAAAAAACCTGTGGTGCTCTGTGATGTCTCTCAATTGAAAATTTGCGATTATATATAGTAAATATATAGATGCACATATAAGGATTCCACACTTACGCTTGTTTTTTATATATTTGTTACAGGGAACATATTTGCTTTTGGGCTGTTTCTTTCACCAATGTAAGTTTCATTGAGTTTGGTAATAATTGAATGTCAGAAAACAGGAAAGTGCAGTAGGATTTGTGTTCATTTACTCACCAGTTTGTGTTTTTAATTAACTTTATTTATTTTTACTTTCAGACACACGTATAGAAGAATCATCAGAAACCGTTCAACTGAAGAGTTCTCAGGGCTACCATACATATATGCCCTTTTGAACTGCTTGATCTGCGTATGGTATGGATCGCCTCTTGTATCTTCTGATAATATACTGATCATGACGGTGAATTCAGCTGGTGCAGTGTTTCAATTAGTCTACATAGCCCTCTTCATAATATATGCTGAGAAATCGAAAAAGGTCACATGTCCCTTCAAGATCGCTCACACTTGTTACTTTGATGAAGTTTCTGAAACCCTTTTTATGTTCTAAACTGTCATGAGTTCCCCCTTAATGTTGCTGCCAGGTGAGGATGCTGGGTTTGCTGTTGGCAGTTTTTGGTCTATGTGCAATCATAGTTTTTGGGAGCTTGCAAATGACTGACCTTGTTATGCGCCGGCTGATTGTTGGACTGCTTAGTTGTGTTTCTCTCATATCAATGTTTGCTTCTCCCTTGTTTATAATTGTAAGTTAATCCAAGGCATTGATGATCTGTGTCGTTAATTTGGTATTAGCGTGTCTTACTCTACTTACTTTGTTATATTTTTGCAGAACTTGGTGATCCGGACAAAGAGTGTCGAATTTATGCCATTTTATCTCTCCCTTTCTACCTTCCTAATGAGCACGTCATTCTTTCTTTATGGAATTTTTAATTATGATCTCTTCATTTATGTAAGATTCCGTGAGCTCATTTTCTCTCTCTCTCTCTCTCTCTCTCTCTCTCTTCTTAATTTTTTGCAAAGCTTTTGGAGCTGTGAATTCAGAATACATATTCCTAGTTTCCCTCGTATAACAGTAACTTTCTTTATGAATTTCAGGTTCCAAATGGCATAGGAACCATTTTGGGGATTGTACAATTAGCTTTGTACTTTTACTATAAGGATTCATCTAAAGAAGACTCCAGAGAACCGTTGATAGTTCCATATCCATAAGTTTTGCCAAAAAGAATTGTGCACATGTTTTGTCTTTGAAGTAAGTGTTATCTTCTATCTATTTTATTCTGTGAGGCGATTCTCTATTATTGTTGTGGTTTTATAGCAACGGGAAACCATCGTCTTCTCATTTCTTGCGTGTACAATCCTTCTGAGTGTCAAATTTACACAGATAACTGCTATGTTCTACTTTTTGCATGCAAGGAAAGTGGTGGCCTGGCTTTCTCTGCATGGACGTGTAAAACGTAAAGCTAATTTTATACCAATCTAATTCATCCATGGCTGCCCTTTTCTCTTTTTTTTTTTTTTTTCAATAGGTAAGAGAAGATTTTATCTTGACATAACAAGGCAAGAAGGCTGAAGCGAAGAGTGGTGCTGATTACCAACTTGAAAACTAAAATCATGTTCTTCAGCCTGTCAAGCTCCTCTGTGCCAGTCATCCCCCTCCCTCTCCCTATCCCCTCCATCTTCCGTTGTCTACATGTGAAAGTGCATCTGCGTGTATCATAGATATTTAGAAAAGTTTGTTAGTCAATTTTTTCCTCGATTCATCTGTAGCATTCATGAATTGGTATGAGTTCAACAAAGTAATTGTTTAAGATCATCAAATCAACTTCTCGTCTTTCGTCAAGTTGAAACCTCTAAAGCCTTTTTATATGGCTTAGCAGCTTCACTATGGGTATTGATCAAGGAATAGAACCAAGTGAGGTCAAGGTCCAGATATGAAATCCACCCTGCGTGATTTGTGCAATCAATATGCTGTGGTATCGATTTCACTGCCCTTTCTCAGGTTATTTGTTTATGTAAGTTGTGATGGTGCCTACCTTATGCAATATAAATTGATTCTTCTTGTGTTTCTATTTCATATTCATGTAGGGAATGTAAGAAAATTCAATTGTCTTCTAAATTCTAAACTTTCTTGCATGATAGCATAAATGTGTAACGTGTTAAATTGGCAAATTAAGTGAGAACAGATTGTCTAGCCTCCTAGGGGCACATTTTGAATATGTTTCTGGCTTTCTTCCCCTGATATTTCCTGTGTCATTGCATACAAAACCTTCATGATGTATCGTCTTCATTTTTCCTTTCTCAAAATCTTCGGTTGTCCCACTTACGTGCACCTAATTAAAAATTGCCATATTAATTGGACAAAATTGCTCATGAAAATTGAAAGAAAAACATGTTCATAAAAAATGCTACAGCTGTGCACATAAAGGGTTGTTATTGCAGAAGATGACTGGCCCATATTACAACTGAAACCCCAACCACTCTCTTTTGCTAAAACTATTTATAACATTTCTGCAGAGAAAATTACAGCAAGTCCCTCAAAGTTGTTCTTGCAACAGCAGCTGTTTTTGCCTGCACAAAGTATGTTGATTGAAAAACAAGCAACAAATTATCAACAACAAAAAAAAAAAAAAAGCATACACTTTTGGGTCTGAATTTATAGAGAGAGCATGCACAAGTTGATTGAACGGATGGAATTATAAAATGGTAAAAAAATGATCATTCTTTTGCTCCAGCAGCAACCAAGAAGTAAAATTGAAAGAAAAAGTAGTGCATTGGTAAATTGGATTTACCTGGTTTCTGGTTTCTCTGTGGGAGTGACAAAGAGGCCGACCTCTTTCATCATAGAGAATAAGGCCACTGAATCTTGGAAGCTCACATTTCTCCCCCATAAGTATAGGCCTTTGCCACACAGGGGAGTCTGAGTTATGGCTTCGCCACCCCACTTCAACTGCAACCCTTTTGTCCAGCAGTGGCCGCGGCGTCTCTCTCCAACTCCCACCCTGCTGTCTCTCCTCCTCCCACTTGCTGGCTCTGCTCCACCGCACCGTGCTCACCAACGCCCCCTTTATTGACCCCCAACCGCAACTTGGCTCAGAGCCAGACCATTTGGGACCTGTTGCTGCGGTCTCTTGTTGGCTGCTGCGCATCACAATCTGCTGCTGTTTTCTCTGAGCCTTCTTTAGTAAAACCGTTGTGGCCATGCAAAGACCAATGACAGCAAAGGCAGCAGATACCAATAGGACGAAAGCTTCTTGGGTTGACAGCCTCCACTTGTCTTCTAAATTCCACAAAGCTTCCATGCCTTATTTCCTTATGCATGCAACAAAAAAGACCAACTCTGGTTGATTTGGAAAGGTAGAACGGAATGATATCTTTTTGGGTAGACATTGAAAGGTGCAAGCAATAACTTTTCTTCAATATTATTTTAAAATTTTGCATTGATGGTGTTGTGTTCACGTGAGGTCCACCGCCTAGCTGGGGGCTTGCTTGGTCTCTGCTGCAGGGCTTTGGCTTAGCCTAGCATGGCTTGCTTGCTCAGGGGAGAGGGGGTGCTCGTGCTTGTTTGAGTTTCAATTCAACCAACCGTTGGGAAATAAGAATGGCTCACCGTTATGGCTCTTAAAGGCAGTCACGAGGTCTTCAAGGTTGTTATTAAAACTCTAAATAAAACATGGCCCTTACTTTCTGTTTCTTTTTCTCTTGGATCAGGATTTTATTTTTAATTTTATACAATCGATATTGGAGAAGATGGACTCGAACACAAGACATCGAATCGGGATTATTAACTCTGTTGTTGTTGATGCAGAGTTTCAGAAGCTGTTAATTCAGCTGACTGCTTAGACTGTAAAAAAAAAGTGTCTGCAAGAAATTAAGAAGTGAATTTAGAGAAGTAATAGGGTTGATCCTCATGTGCCTACACTTTTATTTTTGATAGTGTACTTCTATGTGCTTGATCTGGAATTTTTGGTAGTTAGATTTATAACATTGCTGCTTTGCATGTGACAATCAAATCAAGGTTAGCTTATGCTTATAGCTGAGATCAGTCACATACCAAGAAGAATTCTGACTTATGATCTATTTCAATTTGGGACGATAAATACAATTATAGAAAGCTCCTAATTTTGTTAGGAACCTCTATAGCTCTCATACCCGCGCCCCATAATTTGTGGACCGCAATATTAGAGCTACTTTATTTTTAAATTCTCTGGATTCTTAGTAAAAAAAATGTCATTAGATCGAGAATTAGTTGATGTTTTGACAGTGTACCCAAACAATTTTATTAACCTAATGTCCATATTTATTATACAATATCTATTATTTAACATAAAATATTTAGTATTTCATATCTATCTACGAGCCGGTTAAGTTATATACTCAAATGAAACATTTGTGTTTATGATTCAGATGAGTTCAAATTCAACCCTAAGAATTTGATTGGGTTAGTAACTTTTTAACCAAGGCTCACTAATCCATCCATGTGGATGGATTAGTGAATACACCTTTTGAATACGTTCAAGCTGGACTCATAACACCATCCGTGAATTTTTTTGGGCCCAATATTTTCCGGCTACCCAAAAGAAATAAACAAACAGAAAAATAAAAATTGAATTTCTATTTCCATCTCTCTCCCTTTTCGTCTCCTTCGCAAACCCACCGAGGAAATCCTCAGCTAGGGTTTTTGAACCACTCCGAGCTCGTTTCGAGCCAGACTCCATGACCAGGAGCCTCTCCTAAAGAGTCTTATAGCGCTCAAACGTCAGAAAGGTCCATAATTTCGATAACTCATGCCCTTTTCTACGGTTTCAATTACATTAATGGAGCATCACTTACTTTAGAGTAAAAAATTAATTGTTTTTTTCGTTTGCCTGACGAGAAAGAGAAAAGATGATCAATTTGTTTGGAATGTGGTTATCCAAGGTTGGTTCAGCCCTGTTGGGTTGTATAAATTGAAGGGTTATAATTCTTGCCGCGTGGCCTTGATGAAGGTTGCTGTTATTTATTAATTTTTATAAAGTTAAATGGGTTATAAGTGAGAGCCTCAGAGATACATTGTGGTGTATTGTATGAGAATTATGCCTTCGAATGTTTAAGAATTGAGACTCTAGCTTAAGGGTTTGATTGTTCAGCTAACGTTTTATGTTTGATGATGGATGTTATACCTCGGGAGATAATTGAGATTAGTTTTGATGTCGTTCAGGTTTGATTACTGAAACGTGCTTGGTTGATACTTTGAAAAATATTTTCATAGCTGAGTCTTTGAGTAAAAGAAAATCATGTCTGGAAGAAATCGTGGACCGCCTCATGCTGGTGGACTTCCCCCCCAGGTCCATGAACCATTTGGAAGAGGACTTGGGCCGATGCCCCATCCAGCATTACTCGAGGAAATGAGAGAATCCCAGCTTGGAATGGGTCCCAGACCACTTCCCCCTCACCCTGCTATAATTGAGGAGCATCTTGCGGCTCAACATCAAGATATCCAAGGTCTTCTAGTCGGTAACCAAAGGCTGGCTGCAACCCATGTTGCACTAAAGCAGGAATTGGAAGCTGCCCAATATGAGTTGCAGCGGATGGCTTACCATGTTGATTCACTGCGGGCAGACAAGGATGTTCAAATGAGAGATTTGTATGAGAAGTCTGTTCGTTTGGAAGTGGAACTTCGCGGAGTGGAGGCTATGCGGGCTGAGCTTCTTCAGGTTCGTGCTGATATCAAGGAGCTCACTGCAGCGAGGCAGGAGCTCTCGGGCCAGGCACAAGCAATGACACAAGATTTGGGTAGAATCACTGCTGATTTGCAACAGGCACCAGCTTTGAGAGCAGAAATTGAAGCTATGAAACAGGAATTGCAACGTGCTAGGTATCTTTTGCATGATTTATTGTTATGCTTGAATTTAATGTTTATATTTCGATTAATGTCTGTGGTTGGTTTGCTTGAATTTGATGAATTTTTGTTGGCATTTAGAGCTGCCATTGAGTATGAAAAGAAAGGATATGCAGAGAATTATGAGCATGGCCAGGTGATGGAAAAGAATTTGATATCGATGGCTAGGGAGCTAGAGAAACTTCGTGCAGAAATTGCTAATACTGAGAAGAGAGCACGAGCTGCAGCTGCTGTTGGAAATCCAGGTATACATTATGTTTTTAGTTTATGTGGTTAATTACTTTGATTTAAGATTTTACCTTTTAAATGTTTAAAGAAATAAATATAAAGAACTGAATCTCATTGAAAACACCATATCAGTAAATAGGAGGAAACATTAACAAAATATAAGTAACATTCTTAAAAACTTGGAAAAAATAGATCACGTATGGGAAGCTCAATGACAAACTTTTGACGTGTACTGTTTACTGAAAGCTCAACCTTCCTTGAGTGGTGTATCAAGTACAAGCAGAAGCTCAATAAGAATCTAATGGTCATTTGTTTCTTGACTATCCTTTTATCATCATCCAAGTTTCATAAATTTGTCATTCACTTAAAATATCTTCTTGTATTGTAAAGTTTTAGTCTCAACGAATGTTCTAGTCTAGAAATGGAATGATTTCTAATTGGATTTGTTGAGGCTCAGCCATGTCTCAAAACATGATGCAAAACATAAAAAGGAGGCCATGGACAACTTGCTGAGTCTACTGACTTAAACGTTAATATTGTTTAGTTCGAATACTGACTAATGTCTGTTAAAAAGCCCACATCATCGGAGGGTTCAATTTGCTCCAGTTTCACATCTTGCAAGATCGATTGATGGTTTAGGCCTGTGTGATTATCCTGTACTTTCTGAACTTCATTGTCACAATTACATTGAAGCCAAAATCACAAATAGATGATAATGATCATTTTAAAATTTTATTTTCCTTGCAGCTTGGCATGAAATTTCTGTTGATTTTGTTTTTAAATTTTCTCTACAGGTGTAGGTTATAATTCAAATTATGGAAACCCTGAAGCAGGATATGCAGGAAATCCCTATCCTGCCAGCTATGGCATGAATCCCGTATGTTTTGCTCTCTTTCATGATTTAATAAAAGGCGTGCATGTGTGCATGCCTGATTAAAGTAATGATGTTTCTTTTGTATGTGTCTCTGCGTTATTGCATATCTTTGTAAGCTGCAACTGCTTGCTATTATGTATGCATCATTTTTTTCAAAATGCCTGGATATGTTAAAGTTCCTTGCTCGATTTTCAGGTACAGGGTGGTGCTGAAAGTTTTCCTCAATATACACCTATGCCTGGTTCATGGGGTGCATATGACATGCAGCGAGCTCAGGGACATAGATAAACTTGTTCATCCGTGATACCGAGCTGTGTTCTGACCGGTATCTTGGCTGCAGCGTATTAGATACTTAGGTCTGTGATTGACGTGTTATCTCATAGTAGACATTTTGGAAAACTTTCTTGTTTATTTGGTCATTAGTAACTGTACCTAAACATATCACACATCATATTACCTTGATGGTGCAGTACACTATTCATATGTGGCGTTTTATGATGCAAATATTTGCACTATCTTCCCTAAATGCATTTCATTATGATCTCAATTTTTCCTGCCCTTATTTATATAAAATTTGCTGCCTATCATATATAAATAGTTTATCGCCTTTCCAGAACTTTTTTTTCTTTTGCGCTCTTCATATTTGAGATATTTAGTTTGTAAGGGTTTATTGTTAAATTCTGTGTCTTCTGAAGCAAGAACTTTGCTAGTTCTATTCACAGCTCTAAGTTTTTCGTTGGATAAATGCCAAAATTTCAGTTGTCCCTTGATTGTGAATCTGTCTCATTTACTTGGGAACTCCTTTACATAGCTAATACCACAGATTAATATTCTTCATGTAAGGATCGTTATATATTAATTTACTTTCTCTATTATTACTTGTTGTTTAAGGTTCTTACAGAAGAAATTTGTCGTTTAAGGTTAGTTTCTTGTTGCATCTTATCTGCCAATACATTTAAAGGCTAAATTAGGTTTGTGCTAAGGAAGCTTACTTTCCTGTGCAATTTGGAATATTGCATAGTGATCTTATGTATTATCTGACTGCCTTTAAAGAATAGTCCTTTCAGCTTCTAAGCATCTATCTTTTGACCTTGGGTACAGTATGTGCCCTCTAAGACATGTCCGTTACCTTGGTCAAGCAAACATTTTAGTTCCTATTCCTTCCAGCTTTTCTAATCATATGTCTGGTTTTTATTGAACTAATACTGATATAGCCTATAGGCATTATAGGGTGTAGGTCTCGAGGACCTATGAGTTAAGAATTTTAAAAATATTTTCAAGGAGGATATATATATATGTTTGAGTTCTTTAAATTTTGGCTTTCTTACTGCATTTTCCAGTAGCCACCGGGTTTTTGGGACTTTTAGCCAAAATGTTGTTAATCTCATGCCAAATCACATCCGGACAGTGCTTCAGTATATGGGTTGTAAACCATGATCCTCACCTTGTGTGAGGTGGGCGAGAAACCAATTGTTTAAGAATGTTTCTAAGTTGATATTTGACAATTTTGGTGCAACTTCTTCAATACATATGGGAACTCAAGTCCAGTAACATATTAGGTTGCCTTTTCTTCTTTGTCTTTTACTCTCCTTGGTGCAATTGTTTTTTCCAAGCCTACCATCAAGATTTTTTTTCCTTTTCCTATGCCTAGGGTGTCACAAGCTCATTTTGTATTAGGCTCTATACTGTTATTATTCTGTTTGTGTTGACTACCATGTCCATTGTTTTACATTTCGGTTGATCCATTTACTCATCATAATTGGATTGTGGTATGTGCTAGCCACAGAAAACTAGGGAATCAACTCTTTCTGTTATGTATTTGATGTTGTGGAGATTTTCTGGATTGATACCAGTGGTTAACTTTGGGTTGTCTTTAGTGAGACTGAGAGTCTTACTGCGAAAATTTAGTCAGACATTCTGTTCATTTTAAATGCATGCTAATGTATTTAAAAGAGTATGCTTTGTGGCGTAGTCATATCTGTTTCAGGTCGTAAACTAGGAATAAAGTATTTTTGTTGAATGTGTAGAAACTGTGGCAATCTCAATTAACAGTGAAACTGCATGTAGAATTTCCTGATGGTATCACAAAGCATACTCAAGAACAGATCAGTTACTTATTATATTTAGATATTATAGATGTAATAGAGTTCATACAACATTGTTTTATTGTTAATGCTAATAACCAAATTCATGAATAGCTAAGTTGCGTTAGTGATACAGATTCCTAGATATGGAAGAGTTAGACGTGCAAGTGTTCGCAGTAGATACATAAAGTTCTTTGTTTAAACTTGTTAGCCACTAGATTTATTGTAGTTGTATTATTTTGACATTGTTGGGTGGTTTATGTAGCTCCTTCAGGGTAGACCAGACTAACGAAGTGATGTTGCTTTCCATTGAGTGATGTTGCTCATGAGTGCGCTTTACTAGTTATCCTCAAAATCACACCCTATAATCAATCACCAGTGCAGGCTCCCTGTGGATTTTGAATGAGCTGTACCCCTTGTATCTGTTTCAAGTCAGCTCACACAGCTTATAGTTTGAGTTTTATTTCTTGTATCTATTTTCTATGTAGTGGAACAATTAGTTTTTTGGCATGGCTGCAAAAATCTTAGTATAGTGCTCCCTCTGTCTCTGCTGTCTGTCTCTCCTCCCTATTCTCTCTCATTGTGCATGGCTTGTGTAAGGAGAGGCCTTCATTTTTCCCCTTCCCTTTTCACTGGATCATCCTTGTAGGTTCTATAGTCATTCATTCCATTTATTAGGACTCTGGCAAGACAGAATTTGTGAGGCAGGAGGAGTCTACTGGTAGAGGACATATAGCTTTTAGTTGTGAAAACATGACCTCTTTTTCTTATGGGTTTTACCATGAGTCTGGTACGCTGTAAGGAAAGGAATTCTTTCCATATCTCGCTTCTTTTAGAAGAACAACAGCAAAAATATAAGGGAAGCAATGTATTCATAGCATGTGGTATGCTGTTCATTGGGAAGACACTCAACAATGGAGCTGCAGAATCAGTTTCTGGTCAAGTAAGTGATTTAAATTTCTGACCTTTCACAGTCGGTTATTTCTTTGTTCTTCTTTGTTTTTAAAAATCAGGTTTTTCATTAGAACCAAACTGATAGGTTTTGCGCCATAGCCCCTTGTCAATGGAATTTTGTTGGGAAACTCCTTACGATCTGTGATGGAGGTAGTTTGGTGTAATTTCCTCTTTTTTTCCTCTTTGACATCTGTTGGGCCTTAGACTTCAAATACTGGGAATAGTGTTTTTTTAGTTGTATTGAAGGTTGTACCTTGGCAGCATTGCAGGATATTTTGTTTGCTTACTTATTGGGATGAGCAAGCACTGACTGATTGGTATCCCTTATCTGCTATGTGTGTATTTAGTTTAAAGTTAAGTTGGAGTTTGCTTTCCTTTTTTACTGCAATGTATTTTTCCATAAATTGTTTGAAGCAAGTAATGCTGGATATGAAACTGGATAGCATTTTGGTAGACACAAAAACCATTTTGTGGTCAAGATTGGATATTGAGTTTAGAATGAAAGGCTTTACCTCGAAGCACTGAGTTCTCTTGTTATAAACTTAATTGAATATTGAAGCTTTTGTTCAGGAATGTAAGGTTGTAGTGAAGTAGCTGAGTTGTAGTGCGCTATAGAGCTTAATATCATCATTAAATTGATATGAATTTGAAAGTACTGAATATGTGAGAATTTTCAGAGTATTCATAACTGAATTAGTCTAGGAGGTGCTGAGCTTTTCAGTGGACATCATTCTTTCTTTTTCTAGGCAACATAAGGGAGATTACCTGGGTTTGGATCATGAATGGCCTCCGCTTGGAGGATGGTAGATTGACCACCAGCTCTCACCTCAGGAACTTAAGTGGACAGCATTATCAATTGTTGTTTACTACAGTGTGCATTCCATCAAGGATCACAACTTTATGCTCTTAAAACTGCACAGAGCTTTTCTTTTGGCATGTACAAGAGCATGGCACTTGTTTGGAAGATTATAATATGGCAGAACTATTTTATCTGGGGTTCATTTTATTCATAGTTATAAGATAAATAACCTGGACCCTGTTTGAGTTCTTGTTACTTGTCTGATCTGATGTTTAAGCCTCAAGTCAGTGCTACCAAGTTTTCCTTCTCTGCCTGATATGTTTTCTTGTCATCATCTGGACAGAAGTTCATTGATTTAATTTTATCGTAAACTGATTCTTTTTCTTTTCTTTTTGGGAGGGGGATAGATGTAGTGTTTTGCTAGTTGTATGTGTGCAAATATATTATACTCATTTTAGGAAGCTTTATATTGCAGCAGGTTTTAGCTGGAATTGTTACCTTAGTGCATACCTTTCTTGAGTGTAATGGAAATATGAATCTGGAATTAATATTGTTTCATACTGAACTTTTCGTTTAGTTATTTCTGTCTTTATGTCTGTTCTTCTCTTGAGTTCTGTTCACAATCACTTGCATGTTTTAGAAAATTGAGGAAATGAGTAGTTACCTTTTCCGCCTCTGTATTGTATTGGTACTATTCATGTACAATAATGTATTTATTCAGTATGTCTTTATCTTATCTCTAATATTCTTCATGTATGTCTTCATCTCCAGGTTCACAACCTTTTGGCCCTGCAAATATGATGCTGCCTCCATGATTTCTGAATGTTTTGTCGTGAGGTATGATTAGTTGTTCAAAATTTTGTCCTTTTCTTGATATCATTTCGATGTTACTGCTATATTTGGGCTTGTAAATAAACAAAAATAAACATTATAATTGAGCTATAAGTACTTTAAGAGAGAGAGAGAGAGAGAGAGAGAGAGATAAATGTGGAGAGAGAGAGAGAGAGAGAGAGAGAGAGAGAGAGAGAGAGAGAGATGGCCGTTTAATGTGCAGCTATTTGTGTAATCTTTTTTGGAATCTGCAATGATGGAATGGCTTCAGTTCAGGTTTGTTTCATATGTTCCCGTTTGGAAATTTACTTTTCTAGATGGAGATTACTTTTATACTGAATTAAACCATTTTTCTGTGTGTGTGGGGTTTAATTGGCCGTTTAATGTGCAGCTATTTGTGTAATCTTGTTTGGAATCTGTAGTGGTGGAATGGCTTCAGCTCAGGTTTATTTCATATTTCCTGTTTGGAAATTCACTTTTCTAGGTGGAGAAAAGAACGTACTTTCAATGCGGTTACTTATTTGGAATGAATGTTCCGAAAAATTAAGAGGAATTGGACAATTTCTGGTAAGCACATGGCTTAATGGTTCATTCAGAAGTCTTTATGATCCCACTTCACTTTGATTAGCACATAACTCAATGTTTCTCTGAAGGATAGCGTGGGTAGGGCATTATAAGGGCTGCGTATTATGGAGTAAAGTTGAAGAGCGAGTTGGCTTTATGTGTGGATACAAGCCTCATGTTCTTGCTAAAGTGTCTTGGAAAGGTAGAGCCATGATTCTATAAATAGTTGTGACATAATAGGTTAATTGAATGAATCTTCTAAATGAAGCTTATGAGAAAAGTGGTAATACACTTTGATGGGAGAACAAGGGCTAAAGGGATTCATGGCGAGATTGTAAATGTTATTGAAGCGAAGGCAAGAAAGAATCAGGTATAATAAGAGGCTGGCTCTGGCAGTGAAAGTGGCTCATGAGAATAGCTACAAAGTTACTTTTAGTTCAAGTTTAATGAGAGAACTCAGGTCAAGGTTTTGTGGGTTAATTAACGTTTAATTCCACGTTGTCGGAAAGAATTAGAAAAAAGGAGCCAAAGGAATAACACTTCAATTATTAGGCGTCACGCCTAGAATATGAATTCCATCTCACAATCCTTAAAGCGAGCTCAAGAGTTGATGGCATTGTGTTGACTTGAATAATTCCTGTACAAGTTACAAGTTAGATTAGACAAAGAGAGGGAGTTTTTGGAGGAGAGTAAGAGGAGGGTCGGCTAAAACTAGGGCCCATTTACAAGCATAAGTTGTGAGTCTTCTAGAATGATGAATTTACATACACAAAGCTGAAACTGAAAAAAATAAAAATAAAATTGACTTTTTAAAATTTTATGTTCGTATGCAATTTTCTTTATGTAATTATAAGAATTTGCAATAAGGTTTCTGTTCATATGCTATTGATCTTATAAGTTGAATTATATTCTCAGGTGGTGTTTTCTCTGCTGCGGCACAAGCTAAAAAGCCTAAGAATGGTTTCATTCCCTGTGCTTATCTGAATGGAACAAACCACCAGATGGTTCAAACTCATCATTGGTTGACCATAAATCTCCTTCTCCATTGTAATACCTATGCTTTCCTCCGAAGCCACCAGACACGATCTGGCTTGATTGGAAACAAAAGCAATTTTTTTTTTAATAGACAAACATTTGTATTCTTCCAGACATAGAATTGAGCAAATAAAATGCGAAATACGTGATTATGTTAATATCCTTTCGCATCTTGAATTTTGTACTTCGTACCAAATATATGAAATTTATACAGTGGTGAAAAAGACAGGAATCTTATGCATGTTTTGATTTTGTTTTTGTTTTTGGTTTCTTGGGAAGTCTTGAACATGTTGTGGCTACTCAAAAGCATCCTCATTCAACAGCTGAATAATATCAGCGGGGAGGGAGGGTGGGTTTCAAAACAGAGTCTCAATTCAATTCTTCTCCTTGCATACTGGCTTGAGGTGAGGCTACACCTTCCATAATTCAACCATTTAGATGCAGTGAGGGGCGTAGTGACCTGACCAGCCCTGTCCCTCACCGCCCGCAGAGGAACTTCTCGAAGTGTGGTGCCCACATGAGAGCAAAGGTGGTGGGCAACCTCGTGACTTGAAAATCCTGTCCTTGGTTTTAATGGTATAAAAAGGTGCTCTGAACTCTCTAATTGGCCTGCCTCAGAAGGTGGTGGTCCTTCCCCGTTACCATTTCCAGCTCACATTCAGTGACACCTCAACACCAATTATTCAAAAAAAATTGAATGTTTATTGTATTTCTTGGCACCTTGCAAAATGCCAAAATGCATATAACGTGCTATAGTTTGGAAAGCAGCTCACGATACAAAACACTGTAGAGTAGACACCTGAAACTGAAAGTGAAAACAAGTAGCGAGAGAGCGAGAGAGCGAGAGAGAGAGAGAGAGAGAGAATATGCAGTCGTCACTCTCACATCCCCACGGAAATACAGGCTTCAAATTCCAATCAAACCCCATTTCAAACCAGTCACCACGAACAGCTACATCATTCCCATTCTCTCACTACACCAAAACATCTCCTTCCCCCTCTGCTTCTATTCAACTCACTTTAAGATCTCAATATGACTTACGACCACAATTTCCCAGCAAACCCACATGGCTTCTACCCTCAGTTTCCTTTCCACCCATATTAGCAACCAAGACTGGAAGATCATCACTAGCTCCACTTCAGTGTGGCATTTCGTCGAACAGCTGTAGCACCGACGATGGCAAGAGGAGTTTCAGGGATTGGGTTGAGGTGGTTGGTGAGGCTTTATCAACTGCATTTCCCATATGGGTTGCTTTGGGATGCCTGTTGGGGCTCATCAAGCCGAGTTCCTTCAATTGGGTCACACCCAACTTGACCATCTTAGGCATAACATTGACCATGCTTGGCATGGGCATGACCCTCACTTTCGATGACCTTCGTGGGGCGTTGGCTATGCCCAAGGAATTACTTGCTGGCTTTGTTCTTCAGTACTCGGTCAGTAGTTCCATTTCATACAATATAATCCTCATAATGATTTAAATCCCTACATTTTGTTTAATGCATATGGCTCATTTGGAACTTGTTAGCGTTGTTCAGTCTCAAAATTTTGAACCTTTGCTAAACCTTGGCAATGCATTAGCATTTGTGTTAATATCACCACAAACCTTTCAACAAATCTCTGAAACTCTGAATGCCTAACTTTCTTTAACCCTGCAGAGTTCAGGCTCTTTTAATCTTAGGCTCCAATCTCAACAACTTGATCTTTTGAACATTTCTAACTCCAAGTTGTTTTGTACTGGGGCTGAATATATATGTCCTTCAATCTGTTTAGGAGCAAATTTCATAACATTTATGATTTCAATGGCATGTTCTTGCAGGTGATGCCTTTATCAGGATATGCTGTGAGCAAGCTTTTGAATTTGCCGTCCTATTATGCAGCTGGTTTGATATTGGTTGGTTGCTGCCCTGGTGGTACATATGTTTGCCAGTCTTTTCATACTTATCCTTGTTTACTTCATCGTCGCCTCTCTTTCTGATTATACATTTTTTTTTTCCTTCTTTGCAGGAACAGCAAGTAACATAGTAACTTATATTGCACGGTAAATGAATTATCCAAAATAGTATCATACAATATTACCTTTTTCTTATCTGTGTCCAAAATCTATTTTTATCCTGTGTAATTTGCTGAAAGTTCCACTTTGGTGCTTTAAGTTTCAATCGGTATTATGTCAATCCCATAATTTCCAATTTGTGTCAATTACGCTCCTCTAGTTTCAATGTAACAATGTCAACCTTGCACTTTTCAATTTGTGTCAACCCTGCACTTTTGTTTATCCGATCGGACAAGACAGACCACTGCATGTCTCCAACATGATCCCAATTTCACATGACAGTATTTCTTTGCCCAGATAATCAACTCCAAAACCATTAGTCTCGATCATGTGAGCAATGACAATTTAGAATCTTTCTGAAAAAGTCTGCCTTTATTCATCGAGAATCCCTCATTATGTGGACAGAATACAAGTTAATTAGGAAAGAATACAGGCTGATCTTCAGCCCCTAAAAACAGCTAACCTACCATATATACATCTATCTAATTATAGCCTACAACTAGTATATCCTAATTAAGGAAAGGATCTACTGGCATTAAATCTGTATAACCTATAAATTTGTATAACAATAACTGTCAAAGCTGTCAATCTGCTGGCATTAAATGTGTAGTTATTCCCTTTGACATCCCCCCTCAAATTGATGCTGGTAAATTGACAAGCATCAAAATGCCAATGAGGAAATGATGGCGCTGATGTGGCATGGATTTGGTGAAGATATCTGCGATCTACAGAGTAGTGGAGACATGTGGAAGGGTGATAACCTGATGATCATAGGCTTCTTTGATTAAGTGACAGTCAACCTCGATGTGCTTGGTGCGTTCATGATAGACGGGGTTGGCTGCAATTTGGATGGCACTAGTGTTGTCAGCATGTAGTGAAGTAGGATGAACTGGACTAAAACCAAGCTCTGTGAGGAGACCACGCAGCCAAATGATCTCGGAGCATCCAACAGACATGGTTCGTTACTCTGCCTCAGTAGATGATTTGGAGACGTGGTCCTACTTCTTGCATTTCCAAGAGATAAGGGCATCACCAAGAAACATACACCAGCTGGCAGTAGATTTCCTGGTGTCTGGGCAACTGGCCCAATCAGTGTCACTATAGGCTTGTAGCTGAAGTGAAGAACCTGTAGGGAAGAATAAGCCATGACTAGGTGTGCCAAGAATGTAGCGAATTATGTGGCGGACGACAGACAGCAGACAGATGGAGATGCCTCGGGGCTTGCATGAACTTGCTGACAGTGTGAACAGCACAAGAGATGTCTGGTCTAGTAATGGTTAGATAAATAAGACTACCAACCAGCTTATGATAGATAGTAGGATCCTCAAGAAGCTTCCTTTCGTCACGTCGATATTTCACATTAAGTTCCATGGGGGTGTCAACTGAAGTAGTATCAGTGAGGTTGACTAACTGAACCAGATCCTGACTATACTTGTGCTGATGCAAGAAGAGACCGTGAGGTTGATGATGCACCTCTAAACCCAAGAAATAGGTGAGCTGGCCAAGGTCTTTCATGTGGAATGTAGAATGCAACAAAGTCTGAACTACAGAGATTGCCTCAAAGTCAGAGCCGGTGATGACGATATCATCCACATAAACAAGGAGGACAACGATACCCATGGATGTCCTTTGTAGAAAAAGGGAGGAGTCATACTGACTTTGAGTGAAAGAAAAATCAAGCAAAGTGGATTGAAACTTTTCAAACCATACTCTCGGTGCTTGCTTCAAACCATACAAAGAACGTTTTAGTTTGCAAACATCATTAGGTAAGGAAGTAGGCATACCAGAGGGAAGTTTCAAGTAAACTTCTTCCTTGAGATCATCGTGGAGGAATGCGTTATTGACATCCATTTGATGTAAGGGCCAAGATTGGGATGCAACACGGGTGAGTATAGTTCGGACAATGGTCATTTTGGAAACTGGTACGAAGGTCTCATCATAGTCGAGACCATATTCTTGTTTATTGTCAAGTGCCACTAACTGAGCCTTATAACGGTCTATGGACCCATCGGAACAAAGCTTGATAAAAAAACACGAACTTACTACCAAGGGGTTTCACGGAGGAGGGACGTGGAACAACGTCGAGAAGTTCGGTTTCAACAGCTTTCCGCCAACACTCATGCTCCATTGCCTGTTTATAAGACGAAGGAAGAGAAATATAAGACAATGTGGCTGTGAAGGATGAAGGAGGAGAGGAACCAAACCTATCTTGGGGTCTACGAACCCGAGTGCTGTGTCTGAGAGGGGGAGGTGCAGTTGCTGGAACAGGATCAGCAGTCGAGGAAGAAGCCTGAGGGGGCTTGGGAGGTGCTGAAGGCTGATGGGAAGTGGCGGAGGAGCGTCGTTGATAAACTAGGAGAGGCTTAGAAGGGACTGGAGCTGCAGAAGAGTTAGTTAACATAGGCAAAATAGAAAATAAAGGAGAAATGGGATCTTGATACGTGGAAAAAAATACTGATTTCCTAGAAATATCACAGTTCTAGAAACTCGAATGCGATGCAAATTTGGATCATAGCAAAGAAAACCTTTCTGGTGTACTGAATATTCTAGGAAAGCACATTGAATCGATTGAGCCGTGAGTTTTGTGCGTTCATGTGCAGGAAGATGAACATAACAGACACAACCAAAGGTACGAAGGTTAGAATAAGTTGGAGGGTGACCAAATAACCTGGTGAAAGGAGAGTTGTGGTTCAATGTGGGAGAAGGCAACTTGTTGATGAGGTGGACAGCAGTGGAGAGAGCTTCACACCAAAAACGAGAAGGCGTAGATGACTCTAACAGGAGAGTGCAAACAACATCAAGAAGGTGACAGTTCTTTCTTTCAGCCACCCCATTTTGTTGAGGTGTTGAAGGGCAAGACTATTGAGAGATGATGTAGTGATTCTATAGGAAGTCTTGAAACAAATGAGACATATACTCACCCCTATTGTCAGAACGAAGGATTTTGATATGGGCCGAAAATTGGGTCTGAATATATGCATGAAAAATCTTAAAAACAGAAAATACTTCGTTTTTAGAATGAAGAAAATATATCCATGTGAAACGGCTATAGTCGTCAATAAAAATGACAAATTATTTATAATTAGCATGAGAAGTGATTGGTGCCATACCCTGCACATCACTATGTATCAGATCAAAAGGTTGGACTACATGTGGAGTGTGAATAGGAAATGGCAGAGTCTTACTTTTGCCAAGTTTGCAAGAATTGCAATCAAACTGAACAGCACTAAAAGATGGTGATTCTTCATTCCCAAGAAAACTAGATTTCAGTAATCAACATGAGTGCTGTTCAACATGAGTTAATCAACATGAGTAGAATTACAAGTGACAAAGGGTAAAGAAAAAAAAGGAGACAAAGGAAATTGAAGAGGAAAAAGACGTCCCACTTTAGGCCCTTTCACGATCATTCTCCCTAATTGTTGATCATGCACAACACAACCAGATTTAGAGAATTCCATTTTACAATCATTATCAACCAACTGACCGACAGACACAAGATTGGTGGTGAGACCGGGAGATACGAAGACATCAGTGAGAGAGGGAGAAACATCACTAGTGGCGGTGATAGGTAAATGATTACCATCAGCAGTATGAATTTTGAGATTTCCAAAATATTTGTTTACATTGGTAAGAGAATCAGCATTGTTTGTCATATGATGGGAAGCCCCGGAATCAAAGTACTAAGGAGATGATGTAGAGAAGGGTTTACCAGAGAGTCCTAAAGCTGAAAATGTAGAAATGATCATTTGTTGAATCATGTCAGGGGTCACAAGTTGGACAAGAGCAGGAGCACTTTGTGTTAGAGGTGTTGTATTCACAGAACTACCAGCACTAGAAGAGTCAACTAAGACAGTATATGTTGTCTCTGATTTCTTGGGGGGTCGAGTAGGGTATTCCTTGATGATATGGCCATCCTTTTTGCAGTAGTTGCAGAATTTTCAGGGACAATTTGTAGCATAATGGCCAAATCCCTTGCAATAGAAGCACTGAATAGTGCTCATATCCCTACCTCGTGGCTTACCTTGTGCTGCATAGGCCACAGGAACAAATGTAGATCGCCGTTGTTCCATGTTGGTTTGAGTGAGAAGGCGTTGTTCCTCACGAAGGAGATCATTGAGGCATGTATCCAAGGAGGGGATAGATTCTCAATTCATAAGATTGGATCGGGTGCCTTCAAATTCAGGTCTCAGTTTCATTAGAAATTTATCCCTCTGAGTAGTTTCATGGACAGAGTTAACATAACTACGACCTTCGGATGGTAAGTTAGCATAAACTATATTAGTGTATTCAGCCCAAAGATTAGTGAATTTAGAGTAAATATCAGAGATAGAAAGACTATCCTGTTGGAGAGTGGCCAATTCATGTTCAAGTTGGAAGCGACGAGCAGTGTTTCGTTGACTATAGATCTTCTTCAGGTAAGTCCACATCTGAGCTGCAATCTGAGAGGATCGAAGGTTCAAGATGATATTGGGTTCGACAGATCCTAAAATCCATGCCATAACTTTAGCGTCCTTGACTTCCTACTTGGCGTGCTGGTCTTTGTCTTTGTTTTAGTTAGGAGCTGGGTTACTTCCATCAACATGTCCCCACAACTCCTTACCTTTGATGAAAATCCTGAAGTGAAACGCCCAAGCAGGGTAGTTCTTGCCATTGAAATGAATCAAAGAAACATCAGACTTATCCGAAGACATGAGGTCAAGAGAACTTGATGAAGAATAACCAAGACTAAGGAACTTGAGAGCAAGAGACAATTCAGAGCTGTAGCTCTGATACCATGACAATTTAGAGTCTTTCTGGAAAAGTCTGCCTCTATTCATCGAGAATCCCCCATTATATGGACAGAATACAAATTAATTAGGAAAGAATACAGGCTGATCTTCAGCCCCTAAAAACAGCTAACCTACCATATATACATCTATCTAATTATAGCCTACATCTAGTATATCCTAATTAAGGAAAGAATCTGCTGGCATTAAATCTGTATAACTATAACTGTCAAAGCTGTCAATTTGTCAAATCTGTCAATCTGCTGGCATTAAATGTGTAGTTATTTCCTTTGACAAGCAATATGGTCACTACACTCCCTTTATGTTGCCATTAACATAGTTTGCGATTTGGATGGGTATGATTATCTTTATAAATATTTCAATATTGAAATTCCTACATTCAGCATGCTCCTTGTTAACCATCTTGAATGCTTATGCTACAATAGTTCGTGGGGTGGGTCAGTCCCCACCTACTGCTCAGCTAAGACTAAAATAACCAAACTACAACTTCTAAAAACTAGGGAGATCGAAGTGTAATGTACCTTTTGTTTTTCCTCTCTGGCCAGAGGATCTGATGATCGTATTGTTTTGCCAGTGGAAATGTGGCACTTTCAGTTTTAATGACAGCAGCGAGCACTTTATCAGCCGTGGTTGGTATACTGGCACAACTTTCTTTTCATGTATTTTTGCGTTAAGGTGATTGATATATGCATGGTCCAAAATTTAGCACATCTTTTGAAAAATGGTTAGAAAGACAGTTTGAAGGCCGTTTTCTGCTCAAACTTACTGAACACTTAAATCCTAACTAAGATTCTATCAATTCTATTTGTTTTCCGGTTAAAAGTTACGAGGCACATCCACTTTCTCCCTCTGGAAAAGATTAGTTAAACTATTAATTATGAGAACTATTGTCTTCTGTTCGATTCTTAACCTAAAGTGATATACTGAAAGCTCATTTCTTAAATTACCGACTGCAGCCATATTTTTTACACTGATATACCTTACAATAATGATGAGAGTGTTAGAGTTGTCTTATATTTAGGGAGATATAGTTACTAGTGAGTCAACTTATGAGCCTATTTCTTTTTATGATCAAACCTTACTTCTTTTACCAATTCATGTTGTAGATCATGACCCCCCTTCTCACTGCCAAACTTGCTGGTCAATATGTTGCAGTAGATGCAGCTGGGCTATTATTCTCAACATTGCAGGTAAGCTTTCAAACCCATTGCCTACTTCGTATGCTGCTACAAATTATATTAATATACCATATGCTTTGAACACAGGTTGTGCTTCTCCCTGTATTGGCGGGTGCATTTCTGAATCAATATTTCCAAGGCCTGGTTAAATTTGTGTCCCCCTTGATGCCTCCCATTGCTGTGGGAACTGTAGCTGTTCTTTGTGGGAATGCAATTGCCCAGAGTTCTTCTGCAATCCTTATGTCTGGTAAACAAGTGGTGCTAGCTGCCGCTCTTCTTCATGCATCTGGATTTTTCTTTGGTTACATACTTTCAAGGATACTTGGGATTGATGTGTCATCATCAAGGACTATCTCCATCGAGGTTGGCATGCAGGTTAGCATCATTTTCTCATAGAGATGGATTTTTAAAAGAGAATTGGTTCTCATTTTCATCCAGTGATTGTTCACAGTTTTCCACTGCTAATTATCTTGGAGTGAAAAAAGCATTGCAGCAATTTGTTAATTTCATTCTATAGGCAAAGGCACATGATGTTTGTATGTATGTACATATTCATGCAAGAAGGTGTCATTTTGTATCATGGTATAATTGGTTGTCTGTGTGTAATTAAACCCTACTATTTCTGTTCTTGTATTGCCGAGTGTTCTTATCAAGTCTTCTATGTTTCAGAATTCGGTGCTTGGAGTTGTTCTAGCCAGCCAGCACTTCGGAAATCCTTTAACTGCAGTACCATGCGCTGTTTCTAGCGTTTGTCATTCAATCTTTGGTAGTGCCTTGGCAGGAATTTGGAGACAGAGTGTGCCAACGCAAAAGCAAGATTGAAATGTCACGTAGAAGCTTTAGTTTTAGACAAGCAGTATAAAACTTTAAAACAATCCTTCTGTAATCATATGAGCTGCTAGTTGTGGGAATTTCATTGCACGTTAGCTAGCTATGGAGCACTTGGATTTGCAATTTGTGGTGCTTGTCTTGTCTCTGAACAATTTGAACTTAAACATTTAACTTGCCTTTCAATGTGCTTCCTCTCGATATGATTTTTAACTCAATATTTCACATATAAAATCATTTGTTCATGAAATTACAATTATCAACGTAAAATATATCAAGAGAGAGAGAGAGAATTTTTTTTTTTAAAGTTTTAGTTACTCCAAAAAAAAAAAGAAAAAAAAAAGGGTTTTGAATTTGTATTATTTCTCTCTCAAATTGTTACCCAAACCAAAGCCCCACCCAAGCCCAAGTCCAAAAACAAAACCAGGCCTCACACAACTGCTTTGGGTACCAAAAATTCATCACAGCCCAGAAATTGATTTTTGCCCAAAATTCATGTGGGCGCTGGTTTTGAAAACTCAATTGAATCCCAAAACTCAACCAAAAAATTAGAACCCCGCCAAATTCAAATCTAGCAACTTCCAATTTCCCACCACCACACCAATTTGTTTGCTTCATAATTCAATTCAAATCCCAAACGTCAAATCAAAACCTCTAAAGCTCTTTCGCAAACTCTCACAAGCCCCAGCCCCCCTCAAATTGTTTTCCTCAACTTTCTTTCCCCACCAACCCCTACCAAGCCAACCAATGGATCAGAGATTCCATGGCCTGCCTCCTCTCAAGAGATTCAGACTTATGCAACAACAAGAGCAGCAAGAAGATACCCCTTTAGCCTTGTCGCGCCTTCCGGCGAAGAAAAGAAAAGAGGCATGGCACCAGCCCCTTCTCCCTGACCCATTTGCCGCCACCACTGCTGTCTCCACCTATTCATTGCCTGCCAAGAAAAGGGTTTGGGCCTTTCAGCCAGATTTAATCTCCGAGGACCCGCTTTCGACATTGGACCTTAATGTCGAGTACAAGGTGCCTTTTGGTGCAGAGTCAGAAGAAGCAGTGGTGGAGAAAGAAGAAGAAGAAGAAGAAGAAGAGAAGGGTATTATTCATGAAAATGATTGCAGTGAAGTTACTGAAAATACCCAAGAAGAGAATGGCCAAGAAATTACTGGTGATGAAGATGACAATGAAGAAGAAGAAGATGGGATTGTTTGTGCTATTTGTCAGAGCACAGATGGAGATGCATCAGATCCAATTGTGATATGTGATGGCTGTGATCTAATGGTTCATGCCACCTGCTATGGCAATCCCCTTGTAAAGGGTATTCCAGAGGGTGATTGGTTCTGCACCCAATGCTCACTTTCTTCTGTGCCTTCTCAATCCAATGAGCCCGCTTCTTGCTGCCTGTGTCCTATCAAGGGAGGGGCAATGAAGGCCACCAGAGATGGCAAGTGGGCCCACATTGTGTGCGCGCTTTATGTTCCTGAGGTGTTCTTCAAAGACCCTGAAGGCCGAGAGGGGATTGATTGCTCCAAGGTTCCCAAAAGGAGGTGGAAAGAGAGGTGTTATGTTTGTAAGAGTTCAAGGGGTTGTGCTATTCAGTGCTCTGAGCTTAAATGTCCTTTGGCTTTTCATGTGACTTGTGGATTGAATGAAGATCTTTGCTTAGAGTACAGGGAAGGAAGGAAGCAGGGTGCTATTGTAGCTGGGTTTTGTAAAAGCCACTCAGATCTGTGGAAAAAGGTAAATGTTTGTTTGTTTACAAATCACTTTGAATTTTAGTTCTTTGGGTTTAAATATCATGTCTTTTGATGGGGTTTTGATAAATGGGTTTTGCTCCATTTGCAGCAAGAACAAACTGGGAAGTACAAGATTGTGGCCAGAGAAGACTGAAGAGCACAAGTAGTTAGATTGTGCAGATTAATATATAGAGCTTTCTGGTATGGTATACAATGGATCTGCTGGTTAGTGTTTGATAATTGGTTTTCTCTTTTTGGGGAATTACATGTTTCTGTGAGTTTCAGACATCTGTAGGGTTTTAGTGTTGGCTTATTTGATTATTGTGACTGGTGATGTATTCTAATTACATTCTAACTTATTGTCGGTGCATCTAGCGCGCTAGCTTTGAGCTAACTGTGTTAGATGAAGATAAACATTAGAATGACACTTCAGTTTAAGTGATGAAAATTTGTTCCCTCCATAAATGGGATTTCAAATTGTATTCATGGTGTTGGGAGTCTTTGCCCTCTTGGCATTTGATGTTATAGGGTCATTGTCAGGTTTCATCTGAATAATATTGTTTACAGTTATCTGAGAGGAGATATCTGTTTTATGAATTTATCATTCAAGCAGTCAAGGCATATCATATGCCAAATTGAATGAAACCATTAGTGTTGGATGATTATGACTGTTGTACTTTATGAGAACCAAATGTTGTACATCATTATAACTGCACCTACAACCAATGTCTCTGTCTTTTAAGGATGTCTCTCAAATTTTTAGATATGTGGTCTGCAATTTTGCATCCCAGTTTATGATATAAAATTCTGCATAAGTTAGATGAAGGAAGAATTGGTTACTAGAAAATGACCAAAACTTGGGTTTGAGGGTCTTTCATGTATGCATATGTGCAATGGATTTGTAGCTTTCAGCTCCTGCATATGATTGACTGGTTAACCAAGGGATCTACAAGTCATACCTTTTGAATTGCAGGCCCTCTGTTATGAACATGGGACATCTCCGGGAAGTTAGGCATTCTCGGTCAAGGCCATTGCTTTTTTCCTCTGGCTTGGTTCTGAGCATCAGTGTGAGATCCAACACCTAATAAGCCTTTTAACTGCATACCTTTTGGACATTAAGGATCAAAACCCTGTCAATACAGTGGGGGGACTTAGTGGGCCAATTCTACCATTTCTTTGCTATTAGGAACCACCTCAATGTTTGAATTGAAGACATTTACTAGTCATAGTTTGTAGATGTTAGGACAAGTATTTGATGATTATAATAAAGTTAATTGTTCTTCATCTAAGCAGGATTGCTTAAGATTTATTGGGAGATTGAAATAGGCAATTCTGAATGACCAATTGTAATTGTAACAACTTAGAGTTGCATTTTGTTAGATTCGAAATCCCCGGCACAACTATGAAATAATGTTTAGTCCCTATGCCACTCTTGATGATCTCTCTCTCTACAATTATGTTTTCTAATCATTACAACCATTACAGTTTTATTTGTGATTCTCTGGACCTGAAAATGATGTTAGAGCCTAGTCATGGCGCCTCAAATTTCAAGATTCAATGCTTTGATAAGTCTAGATAATTTTATATAGGCTTTTAGATTGGGTTTCTAATCATCAAGTGAAATATTGCTTGCTAAACTTCCTTACAGATGGAGGATGCTGGAAATTCCATTTATCACATCCCGATAATTAGGTGCAGCTGATGTGTCTGCCTTGTTTTTTTTCTAGTTTCTAGATGCAAAACCTAAAAGGACTTCGCTTCTATCCTCCTGCGGTACGTAGCTGTACTTTGGCCACGGTCATAAACCAGAGCTTGATGAAGGAAGAAAGTCCAAGATAGCTCTCAGCCTTAATTAACCACAACTTTGAATTCAAGGTTAACGATAATTATAATGAATTTTGTTTGATCTACATGAAAGCTATATGCCACTTTTCTTGCTAAACCAAAATAATATAGTTAGAAGGTTTGGATGGAAACTTGAGGAAGAAGATTCAAATAAAGTGGCCTACCGCCCACGTGTGAATACCTCGTTTGAAATATTTCCTCCTTGTTCAGTAATTCAACAGCCTTGATCCATTAGCTAGCATTTTTTGCATCTGGGTTGACAAATGGTACAAGTAATATGCTCTGTAATGGATCAGACAAATTGACTTTTTGTTTTTCTGCATCAACTTCTCACCACATTTCTCTATAAATACCTTGCATGGTTTGGCCTAAGAAAATCACAAACACCTTCTACAAAACCCAGCATTGTTTCTTTGCATTGTAGAGAATATACATCGAAAACATATACCCGAAATTAGAATGATGTCCATGAAGTTGATTGGAAGCCTCAGCTGCTGCATATGGCTAGTCATGGCCATAGCCACCGTAGCTCAAACATCCGATGACTCGAATGCTCCGGTGCTTGACACTTCTGGTCAGGCTCTTCAAGTCGGTGTAGAATACTACATCAAACCCGCCATTACCGACAATGGCGGTCGTTTCACTTTGATCAACAGAAATGACTCATGTCCATTATATGTCGGTCAAGAAAACGTCTCAGGCCCTGAGGGCTACCCTGTCAAATTTGCTCCTTTTGTAGAGGGAGAAACTGTGGTGAGGGAGGCAAGGGACCAAAAGATCACATTCTCAGCATTCACAATCTGTGCGCAGTCAACTGCATGGAAGTTGGGTGAGACTGATGAAGTCACCCAAAGGAGATTGATTGTCACCGGAGAAGATCAAAACCAAGGCATCGCTGGTCCGGCTAGAAACTACTTTAGGGTTAACAAGCAGGCAGCTCCAGATGGTGTCTACAATCTGGAATGGTGCCCAACTGAACTGTGCCCTACTTGCAGGTTTATATGTGGGTCTGCTGGAGCTCTTGTGGAGAACGGGAAGAGGTTGATTGCCTTAGATGGTTCTGTGCTTCCTGTTGTGTTTGAGAGGGCTTAAGTAAATATGTGATCCATATTTATTATGTAATAAAGGGATGGGAATAATCATGTCCTATAGCGGACTTGTATACGATCCTCATCATCAATCTCTTAATTATAAATAAAGTGTTGCAACTAATGTCATGTCAAACAGTCAACTTTTGAATTCGTGACCATTTATGTGAGCGTAATCTGTGAAATTATTAAACCGTGTTTGATTTTGTTACACTGTTGCTTGTTAGTTACTGCTGTAATCACCATAGATTTTAGCCTCAGGGTGGTAATTAACGTGGTGGGCACGTATATATTATATGGAGACAAATATGGGCTAAACTCCACGACAAAATGGAGCTATTTGGGCTGACGAATAGTTGTCCATTCCTTTGGCAAAGCGTGGTCCAATTTCCAACTACTTTTTTCATACCAAAAAAACCATAAAAAAAACTACAGGGTATTGTACAATAGATTGAATATGAATTATCAACTAATATTAGAGCAGAGTTTTATTTCTCTCTTGATGTAGGTTCTCTATGTCATGTGATGGAGGAACATTAACGGCAGTTGATTTTTTTTTTTTTTGTCGACGTTGTTTTAGTTTTGTAGTTTTGGTTTAGTTTGTTCAATAAAATCCAGAAACTCTTATGTCTATGTTATTTTTCTTTCATAATTCCATAAACTTTGTTGAATCTGCTGGGGTTTGTAGTCTCTTTAGGAGAGTCATGCCGGTTAGCGGCCGGTTTTGCCCTTGGTGTAATTTGAATAGATTTGTGGCAACTAAGACGGTAGATAGGAGCAATGGCAGACCTATTAAGGTGCAAGAAGGTGCAACTGCACCTCCTTTCGCCGAAAAAACTATTATAGGTGTTTCAAATTGCCCCTTTGCTCGCGGAAAAGTAAATGTCTTTGTCCTTTTACTTTCATTTATTTTATATTATTCCTTTACTTAAGTTTACAATGTAAATGAGGAAGTACCCTCCATTTGGATTCAAATAAAAATACTAGAAAATCAAATTCCCACCAATTCAAAATATGAAAAATCAATTTTAGTGCAAAATACGATTTAGGCTAAAAATTATGGCTCATTAAGTTAATATATACTTCATACTAAAATCCCATAAAAATCAAGTTTTCTTATTTTATGTGTAAGGAATAAAAACCGCCAAAAATTATCTTGAGAAAATGATTATTCCGAAAAATCATTTTTCATACTTAGTCAATATTTTTACATAAAACAATTTTTTATGTATGATATGAATGCATGAAGAGACCTAAGGTCAATCTAGGTAAAAAAACCTTAAATGTTCAATCCACAAAGAGTTTTTAACCTTTCAAATTGCACTTTGGCTAAAAAATTTCCTGGGTCCGCCAATAAATAGGAGTTTTAGAAAATTTATTTTTTGGTCGTGATTCTTTCCATATTGTTTCAGCAATTTGACCATATTCACCATACCGCTATTGAGATGGCTTATTTAATTAATAAGATATAAAATAGGATGGTATAAAGAGGTCACAACAATTCTATTAAAGTCACGAGTGGAATAGATTCAGACTAAGGCTTCTGTTTGTGCAAATAATCTCACGGGAGAATATTCGCTTTTGGATCCTTCGACCTTCGATCTTCCTTCTCTCTCCTTCTCGATTCTGTAAAAAAGATTGGAGTAAATAGACCACACCCCGGGGGTGTTGGCCAAAGGCCCTCCGATGCCTAAATTAGTTCGAGTGTTTGTAGGAAAATAATAGCTAAGCAAAGGGTACGGAGTTGTATGTATGGTGTGAACCAGGTGGCCGGAGCCGTGTGTGGTGGCCGGATCGGTGTGGAGAAAATATGGAGAGGGAGAGAGAGCTTCAGGTATTTTCTCGGGTATCAGGAGTAGGTTTAGATGTATGATTTTTTGAAGTACCTTGAATGATGACTGAAGTCATCTATTTATAGGAGCCTCGGGTCTAGGGTTTCGTAGAGATTGAGTCGGACTTTGATAATATATGAATTATCTAGTTAATTATAAGATAATATCCTATAACCCTTTGATAAGATAATACCTGAATTATTGATATTATCTCATTAATTATAAGATAATATCCCTTTATTATGATAATATCCCAATTAATGATATTATCTTTATTAATTTTGAGATAATACCATATAATTAAGATATTATCCAAATTAATTAATTATCCCAATAAATGATTTAATTAATTAATTTAAGGGATAATCTTCTTTTCCACGTGGCGTGCTCTGATTGGAGACGAAAATATTTGCTCCCACAGCTTCCTTTGTAATTAAATTAATTAAATAAGTAAAATAAGTTTATAAAATAGGACGGTATCTCTTTTTGACAGCATTGTCACTGTCTAACCTAAGGCTTCCTTTACAATCTTTTTCCTTCGAACTTTTTTTGTCTGTTTGATCAAATAAACTTAAACCGCTTTTTATCAAAAAATTCTAGTTTGAGTTTGAGTTTAAGTTTGATACGTTACTCTCTTTTTCACTCAAGCTTTTTTTTATAGGCAAAGATATTAGCACATGCCAACCACCGAAATAAAATCGATCGGCAATTCAGACGTCATTGTAATCATTCTGTCTTTTCACTCACTATACAATGTACGAAGTCTTCTTCTATTATGCTGTGGGCCGTCCAGACACAACAAAGTGGACATTTCCAAATTCAACAAAAACTAGTGTAGACAAAAAAACAAAACTGAGGGACAGATATATTATTCAATAGAGGAGCCTGATCATCCTAGCTTTGGCAAAACTATGGAAGAAAAGACATCCGGGAACTTCTACGGTGGATCTCTTATTGTGCCTAGCGTTCAAGAATTAGCCAAGAAGCCTATAACCGCCATCCCAGCTAGATACATACAGCCTCATCATCATGAACAACAAGGCCATGTCATGTTCAATCCTGATCATGATCATGCTGAGATACCATTCATTGACATGCAGAAGCTGCTTTCTCAAGAATTGACCGATTCTGAATCTGAGTTAGCTAAGCTCCATTTTGGTTGCAAAGAGTGGGGTTTCTTTCAGGTACACAACTTTTTTCACTCCTTTGTCTGTCTTGAGGAATTAATGAGAAAATTAAATCACAATTTAGCATCAATGAGAAGTTATTGGTAGGTAATGTTGGGTTTGAATTGATAGAGCAAGTACAAGTATTAGCAGCGTAGAAGAAAAAGTGTGCCCCTATAAATATATGTTAATTTGCTTGTGGATTTTTTTGAAATCTTTACTTTGTTAGATGTGGTCCTGAGTTTAAATTCCAAAAATGATGGTTTGTTAAATAAATGAAAAGGAGTTCAAGAATTCGGGTTTAGGCAA